GTTTGATTACCTCTGTGTAAAAACGGCGCAGCTACGACAGCTACTAGTTGATTTGTTGCACAAACTACTGATGATACAGTGAAGTTTTAAGACTAACCCACGCTACCTCTAAAACTTGTCTTTTGAACTTGTTTCGTTTGTTTACATCCTGTCACGAGGGCAAAGAAATTTTTCAATTTTAGGTTCATTGTGCATAGTTTGAGACACCTAAAGTTCATAGAAATATGTAAAACCAAGTTGGTGACCCAAAACAAGAAAACGAGTAGAAGAAATATAGTGACAAAATAGTTGTTTTAGGTAAATAATATTACAAATAAATAGTAGCTAAAGATAATATAATCATAAACCTTCAGGAATCAATAACACTTATTATAACCATCAATCATAGAATTTTTGATATTTTGATGAAGACTAGAAAACGGCTTGATTTTCTTAATAGATAAAGAATTCCAAAGGTTGGTACCAGTGTAACGGAGAAACGAATGCCGTATGGAACGGTATGAACCGATTTAACGAACAGATTATCATTCTGTGATTGACGTGTGATAGGAATGACTGGAAGATACTGGATTAAAATGATCAACAAAACTGAGTTTTAGGACTTATTCATAAACTTATATAAAATTTGGGGTTATAAGAACGTACAAAATTGTCGTCCGATTGAAACTCGAGTATCGTCATGAACTTTACGGAAGGATTCACTCAAAGTTTTATTTTAATTATTGGCTTACAATATCGTGCCCCCACTTTAAGTGTGAATAATTAAGAGCATTTGATTCGAGCTGACAAAAAAAGCCATGGTAACCAATAGAGGTTATGTCGTGCTATTTGCTGTCTTTTCAAACCCGGGGGGTTCTCCTGGGAATTCTTGGTGGGGGTGAACCGCCCGGTTCTCCAAATCCTAACCCTATTTCAGACCAAATAACGTCATTTTCCACAACTGTTTTCAGACGAGACCTCTTTAAACCCATACACGTTTTCAGACCTGGCCTTTAAGAACAAATTCGCATATTTTCTCTTTCGTTCTTATTCATGAGGAATTGAAAACATAAATACGTTCATACACTCCCGTAGTTCCCTCGTAAACCATACCCGATTCCAGACCAAAAAGGCCCCAAAACCATATCCTTTGGGTCGGCACATACCTGTATATATAGTTTATATAAGGAAGTTCCCCCCGGGTTTTCAAAAGCTAAATCGTGCCTTCGGGCGCATTAATTGAATTTCAATAATACTGGTCCAGTTTTATTATCTAAGACTATATTTAGGTATTAAAACTGCTTCCTGTCTGTTACAAAGACAAAGTTGGCCTAAGTTTTAAGGCTATGCCTGCAAAAATCACCCCCCAAAAATGAACATTACAGTATACCGTATTGGTACTAAATTTCGCGGATACTTAATTTCCCGATTTTGGCAAGACAGCATTTTGCGAGGTTTTATTTTCGCGATTTCAATACGCAAATTTTAAAAATTTCGCGATTCAAGCGTTCTCAACATGATTTTATTTTTCAAACGTCTGAACGTTTTAAAATATCGAGATAAAAAGAAACAAACAAAATGAATATTAATGATACAGAAGATATAGTCACGGATTGGAAGTTACCAGTAACACCATCACAGCTAATATTGTAATTTGTCATTATTTGTCGACAAATATATATCCGTACAGTATATGCTGATGTGATTAAGGCATTTTTTCTGTGATTTGAATTTTCTATTATGGGCATTAAATTTCGCCGGGATTTTTATTCGCGGGTCTTCAACGCTAAATTAAGTAACGGAATTAGGTATGAGTTTAAGTGCCAGTCCCCGATGAAGTTTGTTTGCTATCTTCCTTTATATCGCCAATAAATAGATTTAGCCAGGGCTAAAATCGAAAATACTGTTCGTCAGTACGGTCATCCACCTAAGCCTGTACATGTAATGTTCGTATAAATTGCAATACGTTCAAAACTTTGCCGCGCGAATTATTTGCAAGGTAAAGAATTTCGTCCATATTTTTCCTGTCTTAAGAAATCTACGTTACTTGGCTCCCTGTGAAAACAAAACTGCATTGTCGAGATGCTACCTTAACATTTAAATGTATGACGGGTCAAGCGCCTGAAAACTTAAGATCTTTGTTTATATAGTTTATTAGAAGAGGCAGCGTATCTGGACGTATAATTAAACCAGGAGCTTTCAGCAACTTAACATTTCTCTTTTTAAAACTGCAACAGGACAGAAAACGTTTTATTATAGAAGTGTATATATCTGGAACAAGCTAGATTCAAGCCTCAAATTATGCAGGAATCCCGCTTCCTTTAAGAGAGTTTTTTGAAAATCACCCTTTGAATGAAATTTTAAATTGACAATAAATTTAATTTTAAAGATTAATAATTCGTATTTCATATAAACACGCGTGATCGAGGCTGTTCACAGGCTAAAAGGGGCAATGCCACGAGGATATTGCGGTCAATTCTGTTCTAAAGTCATAGCTTTGATTCATTACTATGAACAAAATGCCCCCTTCGTGTGCATTTATAATGAAGACACCACACAAATTTCATAAGGAAGTACTAATCATAATAATGTTTTCAGAGATTTTTGCAGGCATTAGCCCAACGTTTTCACTAAGATTCAATGATATGTCTTCAATCCATGTACATCCTTGCTATCCGTAGCTACAGCACAACAAGGAACGGTTTTGATATAGTCCGTAAGTCTTAGATAACAAAACTGGACCATTATTTTTAGCAGTCAATTCAATTGCCACAAAGACACGTTTTAGCTTTTTAAAAATTTCGCAAATACAGTGAAAAAACAACCAAAATCAGTAGTGGGGAAAATGCTGTTGTGATTGGACAAGGAAAACGTCACTTCTACTAAAAACTGTTTCAAAACTCCTTGAATTAGGGATATCGTAATTTTTAATAAGATTATCTTGCAGTTATCGAATAAAGTTGTAAAAGCTAGTGCTTGAATTCCAGAAGACCCAACCAAAATTAGGTATAACCCTACCACGGCCCGTTAAATCTCGATTAAATCTCGAAAATCAGGTCTAGGTAAAAGAGACGCAAAATGCCACTGGATCATCTGTTGGGTCAGACGTCGAACTTAGGACGCGTCGAACCAACCAACAGAATCAAACCAAAAAACAATTTTAATTAATTTTCTCCCGAACCAGGCTAAATATGCATTATCAAAAAATTTTTTTTGAATTAATAGCTTAGACAGATAGAACGTGTTGGAGGATCCAAACTTGCATTTAGACGAACTCAACCGAGGCAGACGTCGAACTTTTCATGAGCTTAACTCTAAGCTTGGTTCGTCTCGTGAAAAGTTCGGAGTTTGGCTTAGGCCTAAAAGTAACTTTATTTCACTTTAAAACCGTCATCCCGTTCTAAACGTTTTTCTTTAGATTAAACGGCTTTTTTTATTTAGGGAGCAAGCTAGTCATTGTTGATTGTGGCAAAAAGTGCTGAAATTTTACTGACCAGGATAATTTTAAAGTTATTCATCTCCTTTAAGCTGGCAAGATTGTTCTCTATTTTTCCTCTTCTTTTTTTTGGACTAAGCGGTACACGCGAGGAAAACAAAACATTATAACTTGTATAACAGGCGTTATTTTTTTTCGCGTTTTTCATTCGAACGACGGGAAGCGCGAAGCAAAACTAGGTCTAAAACAACATGGAAAATGGTAGAAAAATATCGATATACAACATTGCCGTTCAAAAGGAAGTTTAATGATTTTCTTTCCAAGCAAACTACATGAGCTAAGTCGTCTAAATTGTCAAGTGGCGCTTTCTTTGCACAGCTATAAATGAAGGTTGTCTTTCGTTTTCGATCACCACTGACGGCTCACGCCACAGTTTTAGCTGAACCAGAGTCTTGGCGTTCTCACTTACATACGTAGCGAACCTGTTGAATTCAGCGGACATAAGTAAGTGTCATCAACACAAGAAATCAAGGCTTGCTGCCATCAAGCTTTTAACAGTACCCATTCCAACAGTCCAAAATGGATTAAAATCGAGAAAGGATAGCATATTCAATAACCAGTAACATGTACAACTGATAGAAATCAGGGAGAATACAGGGGAGGGGTGAGGGAGGCAGGAAAAGGAAGGGTACTAGGGAGGTGGGGATTCTCAAAGGGAGAGAAGGGGAAGAAATTGGATGAAATTAGGCAACATCGCTCAATACTTCACAATAGAAAAAGGGCTGAAGTGGCAGAGAAAGTCAAGAAAAAAAGGAGGCGAAAACTGCAAATACAAGGCAAATGCGGCGGGAAGATGGACCCTCTTTCGGTTTTGTGACTGGGGTTTCTCTATACGTCCCATTTTTCCCCTTTTACTCATGAGGCTACGACTCCTTCTATTCTTCTGCTGTGATGAACTTGACAATGAAAAGGAAAAAAAGCAATCCCTTTAGAACAAGGCTAAATAAAAGCTAGGCTGACAAAAATGGTTACCTCTAGATATTTGTAAGTGTTAGGGCAAGGATCACCAAACTCGCTGTTGGTTGCGCGTAATGTGCAATGTGAACGTCCCTGACAGTGAGCTTGAACTTTGGCAAGTGCTCCATTAGCTTTGCAGTAAGTGGTCTTTATTGGTCCCCAGCCACAGACCTGAGCTCCAGTCAAACGGCCGTAGTTTGCAGAAAGGATATTGATCTTGAAAATACCGCAAGTGAGCACATGTGAATCGCCTTCACAGAATTGCAACTGCATCTCTCTCTGACAAGTTGCACCTGAAATATATGTACAATAAACAGCTTTTGGACGAGGGAGAGCAAAATATTGCCATTTATCAAATAACCGCTGATATACTAGACAAACGAGGCTTGGTTTACACTATACCGGATCGCGCATTAGCAGAGCATTGTCTGCAGCAAAACAATTAAGAAAAATAACTTTCCTTTTCTCGATAGGCCATTTGCACTAAAAGATCATGTGACATTGTTTTTATGAAAATGAAAGTTATACGATTTTGCCGTCGATAAACAATTAGTGGGTCATATCTTAAACAAAATAATAGTGATATGGTTTTTCAAACCCGCAACATTTTCTTAAAATTAGTAAGTTCGTAACTGGTCACATGACCGGAATGTGATTTTTAAAATTATGAATTACCTCTTTGTGCATGAACGCAAATTTCGCACTTAAACTTCAAGGAAAATGTTGAAAAGATGATGTGGTAACGTTTACAGCACATCTGAGCGCAACTATCAAACGTTTAACAAGATACAAGCAAAAAATAGTTTTGGCCGCCATGTTGGAGGGCAAAAATATGCCCTCCAACATGGCGGACAATACAAATCATACTACTTTGTTGAAAAATCGAAGTGCCATAAAATATCTCCCTTAAATGCGTTTGCTCTCCAATTTTGGGTGTAAGATAATTTTTATTTGCTCTGTCAATTTTCGGCATCAGCAAGATTTCAACTCATTGTTTAAAGGAAACGTTGGTCACGTTACGTCTTAGTGCAAGTGGCCTGTTGCATAATATGAGCAAGTCATTGTCTGAATACACACGCCCTTCTGTTGTCGTCTATAAAACGCACCCTTTATGTCTGTGACTTTTCACTGAGGCGAGGTAGATTGACAGATTGCCATCTTTTCATAGTCATTGAAAATGTCCATCTGGATGTAAATCTCAGCTCCTTTAGTTATCTCATGCTCATGGTCCCATTTTTCATTTATAGAGGAATTTCCCCCCCCCCCGCCCCCTCCCCCCGGCCCCTCAATATCCTAAATAAGGAAAAATATTTACCCGCATCACCAAATAAGCCTGGAATGAGAAACAAAACCAATATCTGCAACATGGTTCCGCTTTTGCTTCAGTAGAATCACTCTGTGAGGACAAGAAAAACCAGTAGTTCACGAGACTTCACTCATACTTCCTTGGGCCTCAGCCCTTCCAGGCTGAGTGTTTTATATATATATTAGTGGATATTTTGCCTTTGCTAGCTGCGCGAGTCACCACTCAAAGAGTTTAAATTTCTCTCTGTTTTTTTTTTCTTGAAAGAGAGCGCGAATTCATCGTACCTGTTTGCAAAAACTTTTTAGCAAGTAACAAAGGCTTTTTTTTCTAAGTTAGGGTGTTTATATTTTTATCAGTTTTAAAACTTTTAGCCTTAAGGTAATAAAATAATGCTTCTTCTCATTTCCAAATTTTCTAGCTGTTTCTGAGCCAAGTATGAGGAATGAATTTACAAAAAAACAAAACAAAACAAACAAAACGAAACTTTCGTATGCGGCCCATTTTATGGTAGGTAATTTCAAATAGCGACACACCATTAAAATATTACAAAGCGCTTTCTCTTTTTCTCTTCTATCATTTTTCGCAAATTTTTTCCCCGGTTGGAGCAAGATTATTATCGGACGGCCTTTACAGGTTTTTGAATAAGTTTAAAATTTGCTTGATTATAATAAACTGCTTATTTTTTAATTGCTTTTAATTTTTGTTACCTGTAAAATATCTGTTGGAGGAAACACTGACATTGTCTCGAATTTTCTGTAGCTTGAGGGTGGTTAAAAATTTCTTGATGACCGTCATTTATGATTTATGAAGCTTATCTTACAAATTCCACACGAGGTTCTGGAGTTTAATTTTTCACATTTCCCTCCCCAAGTTAAGCTATCTTTCGTAGAAAAAAGAAACCTTTAATTTCCCGTTTCGAAGATGTGATGGAAAGAGGAATAAGAAAAGTTCTCACCTTCGGTAAATCTTTAAATTGGATCTAAAATTTTAGGGAAATTAATACTGCAGAAGCAATTGTAATTTCGAAAAGACTCAGGTTGCTCTAAGATGACTGAACAAATACAAATTTTATAACCCCCCTTAAAATTCATTTCTAGAGATCAAAAAGTACTCTGGATAACCTAAAAGCCGTTTTCAATGTATTTAAGTGGAAACCGTCGTCGGACGCCCGCCTCGATTAAAGCTTGCCTGAAACAACTTTGGTCAGTGATCAGGTCTTAAAGCCTCGGGAATGATTCAGCAAAATAGTGCTGTAATATTTTATGCGAATACTCAAGCACAGTTTATATGTATGTTTCTAAGTCTTTCTAAAGTGCAGAAATTTATACATTTCACCGAGGAAGTTGTTTTACTTTCGCATTTCGTACAACAAATAGCGATTATGATGTTTGATTTTTACGGCGAACTGAAACCGAAGACGTCGAAAAGAGTCTGAAAAGTCCAAGTTTTCTGAAGTTCGCCGTGGTAAATTTTATCTATAACAAAAAAAGTTTAAATACCTTGGTGTAAAAACGGCGCTGCTACTATGAATCTTTGTCCCAAGGCGATATCTCGACTGTCTCTAGTTGACTTGATTTGTTGAAAAAACTAATGATGCAGTGAAGCTGTAAAGGTAACACCCGCGCTTCCTCTGAAACTCGTCTTTTGAACTTGTTTCTTGCGTTTGTTTACATCCGTCACAAAAAGGGCTAAGTTCCTCCTTCCTCCAGAGAGAAAAAGGTTTTGTGACTTATTCATAAACTTCTATAAAACTAGGGGTTATAGGAGAGTACAGACTTGTCGTCCGATTGAAAGTCAGTTTAGGTCAGCTTTACGGAAGGATTCAGCCAAAGTTTTATTTTTTATTAATTATTGGAATACAACAGATGTCATGCCCTTACCTTAAATGTGAATAATTAAGAGCATTTGATTCGAGCTGACAGAAAAGTCATTGTAACTAATGGCTATGTGAGTCACGGTATTTCCTTTCTTTTCAAAAAGCTAAAACTTGCCTTCGCATTAACTGAATTTCAACAGTAATGGTCCAGTTTTATCATCTAAGACCATATTTAGGTATTAAAACTGCTTCCTGTCTGTTACAAAGGATGGCAAAGTTAGCCCAAGTTTTAGTGCTGGTATGCCTGCAAAAATCACTCCCCCCAAAAAATATATATACCTGATTATTCCTTATTATAACATAGCAAAAGTAAAGCGCGCGTTCTGATTGGTCAGTTAGCCATCTACCATTTGCCCATTTCGCAAACGCAAAGCTAGCGCGAACTGGGTAATTTCCTCTCTTGTAAGGTTAAAATTGTACCGATGAAATATTTGCCTGCGTGCAGACGTCTCCTATTTCCTTTGTTGCACGCATGCAACAAAGGAAATAGGAGACGTCTGCACGCAGGCAAATGAAATATGCAAATGAAAAGTGGAAGCTGAAGAAAATACTCAGTTGTCTTTAAGATGGAAAGTGAAAAGATCAAGCGAGAAATTTGCCTTGGAGGAACACATTGTTGTTTTCTTCGCAGCGGAAAGCTCAGAAGAACAAGCGAGTGAGCGAAGATAATTTAAGGATCTAAGCCCGAGGTACATCTTGTGCGTTTTTATAGTAGAGAATAATAATAGAAATGCATCAGTTAGCATTTGTTATTGCTTTTCACTCAAGTTGGTGTTAAAATTAAATTTTACTGCGCCACGTCTTTGACATAACAGTCCGCTCGCATTTATACCTAAAACGGTTTCTTTATGTAAAAATTTGTAATTACTCACCTTGCGGCCGTGATAGTAATTATTTACCTGTTTCAGTGAAGATCACAAGATAGCCAGCCTTTGCACAAGCGAAAATTAAACGAGAAAAAGTTCACCTTGAGCGTCATTGCATTTGAGCGCGCAGTAGAGCGAGATTACTTCATTTTTTGCGCTAATATTTCCGAATATGGTATTGCAGCTGTAATAAATTAACTCCAATAAGTAACGCAGCATCCTGCTTGTGTTCTTTGTTCTGTCGCTTTTTATAAAGTCACCGTCAACAGATCCAAATGTTCTCTGATTCTGTTTTAACTGTTCCAAACGGAGAAATATATTTAGAGAGATTTTTTTTAAATTGGAAAAAGCAGACGCAACGTCGAATGAATGATTTTCCAGTAATCGGATACCCAGGTTTTGCGCACAGGATTCTGGGATCGCCAGGGGGCAAACATTACGAGTCGCTACAACAAAGAGCTTAACCCTATCAATTTTGACTTTAATGAACATTCATATAGTCCACCTTCCAGTCTTACAGTCTTTAGCATCGCAAATACTCAGGTGCGCACATGATCTCGCTTTTTTGTCACTTTTAACTTCTCTTTGCCTGCGGCATGTTTTTTGGAAGCCAAGTGGTTTTTGAGAATGCTCCTTTTAGAGCTCAATATCTCCTTACACCCATTGCGAAACAGTTTTCCACTTCGAAGACAGAGATTTTCCCCTGGGAATTCTTCGATTCGATCACGATGCACGAGGACTCATGTTCTTTGGATCTGAGTTACCTCTTTCCTTGTACTTTCCGGTATTACTTTTAGGGACACGTTCTCTAGAGATTAAAGCTCTCGGTAGGGCACTGGAAGTGGTGGAAGTGGATGTACTCGAAGACGACACTATCTCTGATCTGAGGCCTGAGGGGCCGAGCCTGCGAGCCATAAGCGGATGGCCTGAGTCTCGGTCTTACGCACAGGGTGACCTCTGCCACCTGCCGGACCATATTTGACCATCGGCCTTAGCACAGACCTCAATATTTTCCAAAAACAATACAGAAATAAAATACAAACTGAATTATTCTACAGCTATGATGGGTTTTTTTGTTTTCAACGCATAAAAGCTCGGATTATGCTAGCAGTGCTAAACTGAAATAAGAGCTTAAAATAATGCTCGTTTTGCTGAATTACGCTTAAAATTATGTTAGCACAATCTACCAAAGCCTAGGCGAGGGCACCTTTTGGTGAATATCCGCTGTTAAAGTTGTAGTGTAGATGTTGAAAAACCGCTGATTTGTTGTGCTCAGTGGACAGTGCTCTAGACACCGCTGTAGCATGTGAGCGGACTGAGTCGTCTCTTGCAGTGTCTTAGTCGGTGGTAATACAAAAAAACGTTTGTCAACATCCTGTTAAATGTTACCAAAATCTTGGGTGAATGTTCAAACTGCTATTAAATTCTCGAATTTGTCAATTTGTTTCTTCTAAAATTCCGGAGATTTTCTAAAATGCTTTTTGATATCTAAGATTCTCCAAAAAATTATGTAGCTGATTAAGCCAATGTATATTGCACAGTAAGGGTTGAAATTTTGTGTTTGTTTTCCTTGCACTATGGTCTACGATATCTACCCGGGGCAAACGTTTCAAGTTGCGAGTCCCGAGTAAAATAACACAGTTTCGGCTGAAATGATACCCGAGGGGACGGAGGGAGGGGGGGGGGAGTTACTTGGGTCAGTTTTTGCTGGATACGTGCTGCCGGCCCCTCAGATCACATACCCTATTCTAGTCCATCCTGTGGCTAATCGTAGACCCCATCTTAGTCACTTTTGGGCAAAACAAATTTTCGCGATCTCAACTAAGCCTTTTAACTAGGTCACCCTGAAGTGAAAAACATAAGACTTCTCAGTTTAAAAAATGCACGGCCAGTATAAAACGGAAATTTCTTAATACTGAACGCAGGAAGAAGGTCGAACTAACTGGGTGATTTACTACGCGTCAACTATAAAAAAAACTGGAACAAAACAACTTAACCACGTGTTAACAGGCTGTAGTGAGCATTTTGAACTGCAGTTTCTGTAAGTGAAGATGTGGCGAACAAAATTAAGGGACAAAAGACCAATAGAAACAGCTAATATCAGGGTACAAAATTCCATGTGAAAAAAGAAGTTTAATAATCTTCTTTTCAAGCAAGTTACATCTTTAAATCAGAAAGCTACGTTTATCTCTGCACTAATAATATTATGATGGGCCATCTTCTTGTCCCGGCTAGCTTTCTTAGTTGGCGGCGAACGTCAGCACTAGGTCAGCACAGACTTGATGTTTACTTCTTACATCTGTAGCGAACCTGTTGATATAAACGGACAGCTAAGTTTTCCTAAATGGCTTTCTTTATTTTTATAAGATGGTTAAAGGGTCTTACAATCCTGAATTAAACTCTCAATTCAGAGAATTCTACATCTCAGTATTTATCTTATAGAGTGAAATTATCCCTGTGCATCAGAATTCTGATTCATCCACTCACTGGGACAATCTTGAGCACAATTGGAACTGAAAACTAGTAGCGCGTTAAACAAATTGTTTGAAGTTAAATATCACAGAGTAGTAAGTATGCAAATTTCATCAGGAGCGGATCCAGAAAATTCAGAAAGGAGTGGTCGGGACACTTAACAGCTCTATTCTAGGTACTTTTTATTTTTCTGAGACGTAATTCTATAAAAATAATACAAAATTTCAAAGGAAAGGGGTGGCTGCGGGCCCCCTCGGCCCACCTCTAAATCCGCCCGTGTTCATAACGTCTGTTCTTGTTTCAATAATACTATAACTTTAATTTCACACGTTTCATTGTCCATGATAAATATGAAATCCTAGTCTTCCAGCCCTGAGCTTTCCATTTAAGAATCATCGAGAGGCTCCAATCTTTCGCGGCTCTCCTTTTATGGCGATACCATATTCCAATGATCAATAAATCAAGCAATCAATTTCATTTCCTGACCCAACTGAAAAGTTTTAAGATTTACACACTTAAAAAATAATTGAACATAATCGTAAAAATGCTTCTTATTTCTCTTTTCAAAGTCAAAACATACAATAGAGTTGATATATCATCAAGTTTTTGTTGCCGCTGCAAAACGTGCTTCTACTAGGAAAATACCCCTACCTCCAGATATTTATAAGTACCAGGGCAAGGATCACCAAACTTGGTGTTGACTGCATGCAACACACATCTTGGACGTCCCTGGCAATCAGCCCGAACTTTGCTAAGCGCTCCAGCAGCCCCGCAATGTGTGGTTTTTATCGGTCCTCCACCACAAACGTGTCCACCGGTGAGACGACCATAATTTGCAGACAGGACTTCGATCTTCTTCGAAGGTTTGCAACGGATTTCATGAACACCGCCTTCACAAACTTGCAACAAGGTGCTATGATGGGGTCGTTTGGAAACACAGTTGTATGACACCTGTTTGTGGGATAAGAGCAAGACATTTTGTCAGCACATCAGCATATTTTGTCTTTAGAAAAGTTATGGTTATGGGGAGCGGGCGAAGTACAAATAATAAAAGTATTCATGCAAGGGAAAATTAACTTAAGACAATGAGGGGAATGTTTAACAAAAAAATAAATTCATGCAGCTCGAAAATTCCCCAACCTGCCATAACTTTTCTTATAGTCTGCCCGTAAATGTCCAATAGAGTTTTTGCTTTGAGTTTCCGTAGCTTTCAACGGGTAGACACCCGAACTATAGCGCGAGTTTCGATTCCTCTAGGGACTCAAGAAAACTCGGATGATCTCTTATCGTCTCTATGAACTACGTTTTCGAGACTGAAAGAAGCAGAATCGAGTGTCTCACTTGGGTGATACTTTGGCTTTTAACTAAAAGTTAATTTCTTCTTGTTAAGCTGGTTAAGGTTAACACACAAATCTAAGGATACATTTTACATTCTTGTACAAGTTATCGAAAATTATAGGACTATTTCGGATGCTTGTTTCTGACTTATTTTAAGGTGAAAGAAACGAGAGAAAGTAAGGCTTGTTTCTAAAAAAATAATAATATGAT